GCAGCCGGAGGGATGGTGGCCGGGAAACCCCTTCCTCTGGGCCAGGAGCAGCGGGACAGAAGGTGGCCCAAAAGCCCTTTCCTCTGGGCTGGGAGCAGTGGGAGGGATGGTGACCGGGAAGCCCCTTTCTCTGGAAGGGGATGACGGCTCAGAAGCCCCTACCTCTGTGCCAGGAACGGTGGGACTCAGTACCTTGGTCTGGTGGTCTGGTGTCCTCTGCGCCTTGGTAATGTGGAATCAGGTGGCTGCCTGTCTGCAGTGGGGTGATTCGGTGTCTTCCGCGTGACTCAGGACCTCGGTAGGGCGTGCACAGACCTGCCTGTCTGCCGCCGGCTGATTCGGCGTGTGTTCCGCGCGACTGGGGACCTCAGCAGGGTGTGGGCAGACCTGCCTGTCTGCCGGACCTAATTTTTTTGAGTTCTTTTTTTTGGGGATACCGGGGATCAAACTCGGGAACTTGCGCTTGAGAGGCAGGCGCCGGAACCACTGAGCTAAATCCCCGGCCCCTTGAGTTCTTTATATATTGTTGATATGAGTCCTCTGTCTGAGCAATAGCTAGCAAAAAGTTTTTCCCTTTCTGTAAGTTGTCTCTTCACTCTGTTGGTTGTTTCAGAGTTTGCCTTTCCATTGGATGACACTTGGCGCAGCATTCACCATATTTTTTCACTCACACCTCATAAAGTGCTAATGAAGGAGGACTTCCAGAACTGCTTCATAAAGCGGCAGGAATGATGGGATAAGTGTGTTTGGGGAGGGCAGATTTGAGAGGGATTAATGCCAGTGTGTCTTAGTTGTTCTAAATTTAAGCATTCACCTTATATTTGCATCACCCCTTGTGTATGTAACAAATAAAACCCTACTCTAGTTTCCTAACTCTCCATAGAAGAAGCCCCTGTATTAATCCAGAATGAGGAAGTGGGGTTGTTTTCTTTTTTAAACCTAAACTGGGTCATGCTGTATATACATCATAGAGCTGGCCTTTGTCACTTACTGGACCTTGGTCCTCTTTCCCTGTGGGTACACACAGATCTGCCTTGTTTGTATAACTGTACTGTGATTATTTTACACTTCTGTAATGCCACATGCATTAGTTGTTTTGCAGGTTCTTGCCACTGCAGGTCCTGCCGTGGCAGTGTGCTCACAGTGTATGTCATGCGTGAGTGTCTGATACGTGCGCCTGTGACTGTGCTTGAATGGTGCCTGTGCCTGGGGACTTGTAAGGGACAACATTCAGATTAGTTAGCTCTTGGCAGCAGCACCATGGGAAGACAACACTCCTGAGCCAAGGTGCTTCTGTCCTTTCAGGGCCCACTGTGATCACTATTGCATCTTAATGGAAAGTTTTTTCATGTTGTAATGCCATAATTTGACATTTCAAAGAACAGTTATATTTAATGGTCAACATCTTTTGAGCAAACTTTTATTTCTAAGCTAATTTTTAAGTGTTGGTGTGCAGCATCCACTAGCTAGAGAGTTAGGACAGAGGCACAGACTCCTGCTTAGCCACAGGTAGCTATACCACAGTTTCAATTTGCCGTGCAAGTATAGTGAATTGCTTTATTCCCAACTCATATGCTGTCAATGCTACATTTGTAGCAGTTTAGCAATTAGGTTACCCACCAGTTTAAGCACAGGTTCTCAAGGTGTAATGTGTCTTGAGCAGAGATTTCTACCCTCAAAATACAGCATGTTTTGGTCTGGTTTGTTTGGGGTTGAGAGTTTCATTAAAGGCAAAATCCAGGCAGTTCACCACCCACAATAACACTGCTGTCCATCTTCATCTCCAGTGCTGGGCCTGGTGCTCCCAATGTGGGCCATCGCGCTCATTTCCTTTGGTGTCGCTCTGCTCTTCGCCTTTTTCGTGTGGCTCTTTGTCTGTCCATGGATGCGGAGGAAAATAGCAGGTAAGGACCTTTCTTCTGAATCACAAAAAATGCTTCTGGTTCCTGAGACTTCCCATGTAACAAACACACATCCTGAGGAACAGAGGAAATGGCAGTGTGGAACACTCCAGAATGTACACTGGGCTTGCATCCCACCTCTTCCTGCTGGCTACTTTCTAGCTGAGAATTTTCTGGGTAACCTGTGACCCATGTGAGCAGGAAGGTCTTCACTGCTATGGATTACTAGAAGTTAGCTGTTCAGCCAGCTCTACCAGCCTGATGGAAAAGTAGTCTTCAGGGAAATGCAGACTAACACAGTAAGGTGCCCCTCACACCCACAAGAAGGGCAAAAATGAAAAAGACAATTCTAAGTGTTGGTGAAGATGTGAAATACCAGAATTCTCATACATTTATGGTGAACTATAAAGTAGCACAACCATTTAGAAAATTAGTTTAGCAATTCCCTATGAAGTTAACTTACTTACTTACCACATGATCCAGGACTTCCACTCCTAGGTATTTATCCAAGAGAAATGAAGCTATGTATTCATAAAAAGACTGAACTACGAGCCAGATGTGGTGATGCACTCAGAAGGTTGCCACAGGAAGCTCACAAGTTCCAGACCAGCTGGGGTGCATTGTAAGATGCTGTCTTTAAAATAAAAGAAAAAAAAACTTCCCTATAAGTTTCAGGCAAATAGCCAAAGAATTGGAAGCAACCCAAGTGTTCACCAGTAGGTGAAGAGACAACTACAGGATGGCATGTTTATATGCCAGGAGACAACTCAGCAATAAAGTAGGCACAGCTACATAATGAGTTTCATAATATTATATTGAACAAAAGAAGCCAGATGCGAGAGTGTATATGCTGGATGATTCCAGGTTTCAAAAACTTTCTATTAAAAACTTTATAGAATTTTCCATAAAATTTAAGAACAGGGAAAATTCATTAGTAATGATAGAGATCATTGGCTGCTTAGGATAGATGAGGGTGGAGAGGAAACTGAAGGAGACAGAGGGACTTTTCAGGGACAGGGGAATGGATTTGGTCTCAACTGGGAAAATGGTAATGCAGTGTGCTGATTTGTCACGGGTTTTCCATTTAAAATGTATGGACTTTATCATATATAAATTATACTACAATAAAAACAGTTTTTAGGAAGAAGGAAAATATGGTTGGGCTGGGGGCTTAGCTCTTTTAGTGGTAAAGCTCTTGCCTAACATGTGCAAGGTGAAAGGCCCTGGGTTCAATCCCCAGCACCAGACAGAGAGAGGGAGGGGGAGGGAGGAGGAGGACAGGAGGGGAAGGGATGGAGAGCAAGACCAAGGAAGGAAAGAGGGAAGGAAGGAGGGAAATAAAGAGTCAACCAGGGCAGTTTTGCTATTCCCAACAACATCACTGAATTCCAAGCCTTGAAGCCACCAGTTTTTATGGGGCTCACACAAAAAAAGAAAGGATTAGTTAAATTTGGCCTCTGACTGTGCCTTCTAGTCATGTTTCAATATGGATATATGTCAGGTTGAAAAATCTGTTTCAAAAAAGACCAAAATAAGTGAGGAGACATAACATGCTCATGTATTGAAAGTCTCAATGTAGTAAAGATGTTAATTCTTCTCAAGTTGGTCTAGCCATAATATAATTGAAATAGAAATCTCAGCAGGATATTTTGTAGACCTAGACAAGCTGCTTTAAAAATTTACATAGAAACCCCAAAAGAATCAGTATACCCATAATCATCTTGAAAAAGAAGAATAAAGTTAGAAGATTCACACCTGACTTTAAGATGTATTATAATGCTACAGAACAGTTTTATTGGTGAAGGGACAGGAACATGGGCTAATGGAACAGAAGAGAGTCTAAAAATGGACCCACACATGTATGGAGGATGAACTTGCAACAGAGATGCAAAGGCAATTCCACAAAGACAGTATAGTCTCTTCAATAAACTGTACTGGAACATTTGTACATTCATACACCAAAAGAACCTTAGCCTAAACCTTATACATTATATAATTATCTCAAAATATTTCATAGATCTAAGGGTAAAATAAAAACAATAAGACCTTTAGGGGAAAAAAGAAGGGGAAACTTTTGTGACCCTGGGTTAAGCAAAGACTTTTTAGACGTGACACTAAAAACATGATCTGTAGAAGAAGAAATTGATAAATTGTACCTTATCAAAATTAGAAACTTTTGCTTTCTGAGAAACACCATTCCAAGAAGCTTCTTGTATTGAGAATCTATAAAGAAAATTCACAAAATAAATAACCCAGTTCAAATAATTGCTCAGACCATTCCCTGGGCAGAGATGTGTGGGTGGTGAGTGAACCGGCATCAAGGTGTGCATCTCCCTGCTGAGCCAAGTGCAGGGCGGGCGGGGCAGAGTTCATCCGTGTTGCTCGGGCCTCACACTGAGTGCCGGCTGCTGCCAGGATGAGCAGCTGGAGCTCCCTGCATTGCTGGTAGGGACACAACATGGCACAGGATGACATTTCGGCAATTTCTTTTTACAAGGTTAAATATATGCTTGCTGAAAATATACTCTTAACCATTCCTGGATATTTCCCCAGAGAATTAAGAACTTAAATTCACTCAAAATCACCTTTATTTGCAATCAGCAAAATCTGGGAAGAACCCTCGTTATCCACGTGATGAATCCATTGCATAGCACCTGTGCACTCCACATGCTCCCTAGAAGCTCAGGGATGAACTATCCGTGCCTGCAGTGACCAGGTGCTTGTTGAAGGCAGGCTGAGTCGGAGAGGTGTCTCCAGATATTACTGATTTGGGGGTTTTATTTCAATGACCTTCTGAAAAAGCCAGAGCCACAGAGACAGGGCCCAGCTTATTGGGTGTTATGGTTAGCACTGGGCAGGCTGACTGCAAACCCAGCTCCAGGATGGTGGAGTCTTCCATAGCCTGGCTGTGCTGGCACTGACACAAATCTGTGTGTTTTAAAACTCACACAAAGTCAATTTACTGCATGTAAATTTTAAAATAATATTTTTTAAATCCACATTAATACATAATGACAAGGCCACATTGCTAAGGGTTTAAAACCAGCTTTTTTTCCCTCTCCCATGAAGCTGCTTCCTGCTCTGCACTGAGGATAGAGGTCACCTCCCAAGTTCATGCAGACTGGCCTAAGCTGAGCCACCCTACCTACCCTGTGTGTCTGATATGCCTGTTGGGGATGATAGGCTGGACCAAATCCACTTCAGTTTTTAAATGCTTTTTCTGTTAATGAGTCAGGGCCAGGAAATCTTTGTTTTCTAGCTCTGGCCTGTAATGTCATAGCAGGAGACAGGCGCTGTTGTTGTCCATACCAGCTTCCCAGGAGGTTTTGTTTTGGTTTGGTTAATCCCATTTGTCTTGATAGTCCATATATACTTCTTTTTGATGTTTTTGTTATCTGAAGTATAAATGAGTGATTCAGGGCATGGACCACAGAGCTGCCCTACCTGCACTTGGACCTTGGCTCTGTCAGCCCCTCACTCACTGTGATACCCTGGCGAGTGACTTAATCTCCCTATGGTGCAATTTGCTCATCAGCAAAATGGAGCAAGAAATAGCAATGCCTTGAGTAAATATTAAGTTTTTGTTATAGGTATTGTTACAGTCTTTAAAAGTATTTTCTTCTCTCATCTAGATTTTAAAGCACTAGATCAGAGATCTTTATGTTCATTTATTGTATTGCATATGCATCATAACAGAAATTTAACTTTAAAGAAAAATTCACCTCTGGTAGATATAAATAACAGAGTAGAGATTATGTGTGAGCATATCCAGAAGAAGAATTGAGCTTATTTCATTGCAGTGCTATAGGTAAGAGTTTAGAAATTTGCTAAGAATAATTTTCAAACAACAGGATAAATTAGCAACACCTTGTATCAGTGTTTGTTTAAAAGAACACTGTTGAACTTTTTTTTTTTTTGTACCAGGGATTGAACTTGGGTCCTTGCACTTGCGAGGCATGTGGCAGAACCACTGAGCTAAATCCCTGGCCCTGAACACTATTGAACTTTAAAATAACTTTTTTTAAATCCCCTTGTTTTACTGTGTTGTGGGTTAGTTTTTAAGAAGCCATCCTCCTGCCTCAGCCTCCCAAGTAACTGGGATTACAGGCATGTACCACCACCTGGCTGCCTTGTTTGTTTGTTGTTTTCTGCATATATCTGTCTATCTGTATTAGTCTATCTGTCTGTCTGTCTCATCCAATCCAGAGATGTTCTACCACTGGGCTGTAGACCGAGCCCTTTTTATTTTTTATTCAGGGACAGGGCCTCACTAAACTGGGTGCTGACCTCCTGTCTCAGCCTCCCAAGTAGCTAGGGTTAGGGGTGTGTGCCACTGTATTTGGCCCTTGTTTCTTTTTAAAGCAGAGGACTTTTTTAAAAAACTTTTTAGAATCTCCCCTTTTCCTTCTAAGGAAAGGATTTACTTGTTTCATAAAACTTGGTATGATTAAGAAATCTGAGACTAGTAATTTATTGACCAGAAGAAACCCAACATGCTAGAGTCATACCTATGAAGACAAAATAAGGTTAAATATTTCAGTGAGTTTGAGATCAGTGTAAGAAAGCAGAAGGCATTCTAAGCAGTTCTATATTTACAGAGACCTGGGTGACAACATTACCCTCTCTTTCTTGTTGTTTTTGGATGTGATAACGAAAGCCGTAAATGCCCATCTCAACAGCTAAATAATTTGGCTAGATTTAATTTTTTCAATGTAGTTTTTTTGTTTCCAAGGTAAGTATTAAAAGTATGAAGAGATAACTTCCCTTCTAATATTTATTTTCCAGTAATAGGAATGTTCTTCAAACTTGAAGTTCTTCCCCTTTTTTTTCTAGGCAAATTACAAAAGGAAAGTGCGTTATCACGAGCCTCTGACGAAAGCCTTGGTGAAGTCCAGGAGGGGGGGTCCCCAGTCTTCACAGAGCTCCCAGGCGCCAGGACCAGCGATGACAGCACCGTCCCTCTCACTGGGCCGCCTGGGGAGATGGCAGCAGCGTCAGTGGCCTCGGAAGGCCCCTCCACAGGGAGCCACCCCCGGGCCACCTATGGTAGGGCTTGCCTGGATAGCGTGGCTCATGTCAAGGGATGTTCGCAGGAGAAGCCCTGCCTGAGTGTGGGCACAGTGTTCTGGTTTTATGTAGTGTGTGTTTACGGTGCTGGAGGTTGAGCCAGAGCCTGTGTGGCCTGATCACACGCTCTGCTGCCAGAAAACCTAGAAGCCAGAGGCCACGCCATTGTCACCAGAGCAGGTTCCCTCTTGTCCTGTGGTCTTCTCCACACAATGTTGGCAGTGTCCCTGACTCTGCAGGAGCCACAGAGTTGCTGAAGACTGGTTCACTCAGCTCTGAGGCTGCTTTCCTCAGGGAAGACGAGAGAGAAAGCTAAGGCTGGAGTGAAGGAGAGGGTCCTGCCCCAGAAGCACTGAATCTTGGAAGCTGTCCAGACCTGCCCAGCATTGTTACCCTCTTGACATAGGGCAGTGAGGCCTGGGATCCTGGCCCCTGCTATCTGCAGGTGCAGACTCAGACTCTACCCAAAGCAGGCAAACTGGTTTCTGGGTTTTTCTTTTGGTGCCTCCGAACCCCGGGCTGTGCATGATCAGTGCATGCCACACCCCAGGCCTCCACACAAGCAAATTGATTCTGCCTTCTGATCTGAAAGACACCACCCCTGACAGTCCCCAATGACCTGTTTAAAAACACCAGCATCGGGCTGGGGATTTAGCTCAGTGGCATCGCGTCTGCCTGGCAAGTGCAAGGTCCTGAGTTCAATCTCTGGTTCCACAAAAAAAAAACCACCAGCATCTCTCTCTTACCTGCATAAGGTTTTGCCTCATATGCCAAGTTTTACTACAGTAGATTCCATATAGAATCTCCCTTTATTGACACCTAGAAACAAAGAATGCTGTTGTCCTTTCTGGAAGATACCTTACAGCAGAACTTAAGTAACACTTTTGCCATACCATGTTATTAGTTCTACTCTTCTGTTGTATGTTTCTAAGGGTTGGTTGGTTGGTTGATTTTGACTTTATGGCATATCCTTATAGTTAATTTAGAAAATAAAGTATATAGGAAAAAATTTAAATCACCCATAATCCAAACTTCTGGGGCGCAGACCATGAAATAGGAGGGCATTTCCCTCAGACATGTTTCTGTGAGAAGGTTAGACAGTAACAAGGCTTTGCTAACTCCTTTTCAGGAAGGGCCCTTTCCATGACTCACAGCTCTGCAAAGTCACCGGTCTCCAATGGCACCTTTGGCTTTGAGGGCCACACAAGGAGTGATGGTCACGTGTACCACACCGTACACAAGGACTCGGGACTCTACAAAGACTTGCTGCACAAAATCCACATAGACAGGGGCCCTGAGGAGAAGCCAGCGCAGGAGAACAGCTACAGGCTGCTGCGGCGGAACAACAGTTACACCTGCTACACGGCAGCCATCTGTGGCCTGCCTGTCCACCCCACTTTCAAGGCCGCTGACATGTCCTCAGCCCCTGAGGACAGTGAGAAGCTGGTGGGGGATACTGTGTCCTACTCTAAAAAGAGACTTCGCTATGACAGCTACTCCAGCTATTGTAATGCAGTAGCAGAAGCAGAGATCGAGGCAGAAGAGGGTGGTGTGGAAATGAAGCTGGCGTCTGAGCTTGCAGATCCAGGCCAGCCTCGAGAGGATCCTGTGGAAGAAGAAAAGGAAGAGAAGGATGCAGCTGAGGTCCACCTTCTGTTCCATTTTCTGCAGGTCCTCACTGCCTGCTTTGGGTCCTTCGCTCATGGCGGCAATGATGTGAGGTGAGAAAGTTCATCAATTCAATAAGTGTGAATGAGGGGCCAGCAGGTGCCAGGGTAGAGCAGTGCATGACATGGATGAAGGTCCCTGCACCCTGGAAGAGGGTCCAGACAGTGACTAGTCAGCACACACAGCATGCTAGGCAGCCAGGAATGCTAAAGAGAAGAATCAAGTGGAAAGGGAACCAGGGCCTGGAAGGATAGGTAGGGCTTGCTGAGTGGGGTCCTGAGTGGGTGAGGGCATCTGCCCAGTGGGAAGAGAGGCAGCAGGGGTGAAGGCCCTGGGGTGGAGTGGGCCTGGGGTGCTCTGGGAAGATCAAGAAGCCCCGAGATATAGTGCACAGGGCCGTGTGGATTTAGAAGGGAGTTTTTTATGTGTTGGATGATGTACACACTCACAGCCCAGCTGCTCCAGAGGCTGAGAAAGGAGGGAATCAGGAGTTTGGGCCAGCCTGGGCAGCACACCATAGATGAACAGAGAGAGGGACTTTTACACTGAGAGAGGGGAGCAAGTGGATGTTGTGAGTGAGACTTCCTGATCCATGCTTACCAGGATCACTCTGGCTCCCACTTTGGACTCCATGTGGGACCTGGTAGGAGGCCACTGAAGTAGTCCAATAAGAGATGATGATGCTAGAGCCAGGGAAGTGGCCAGTCAGCTAGAACCTGTGGGATTTGTGACAGGTTGGTTCCAAATGTGAGAGAAAGCAAAACAGTAGGCTGCATCCACCTGTTCTGCTGCCCTAAGAGCCGCTGCTGATTCCGACTGGCTGGTGGGCAATGGGAGCTCACATACAGGACCCTGTGACATCAAATGACAAGTGATACAGCAATCACCCGCCGCCTGCAGGCAGAGGGAGGCCAGGCTGAGTGCAGGTGAGGCACATGGGTGACACAGGCAGGAGAGAGGTCCCGGCACTGGAGCCCTGAATGCTGTGGGAAACGGCAAGGAGTGTTGAGAACTTTGTAAGAGCTGACTTTATGTCCATTAACCTGGAAGCTGACATTGGTCCTCTTTAAGTTCATTTACAAACTTAACTTGTTACTGAAAGTCACGCCCAAAATTGCAACCAAAATATTAAACTTCCAGCCATTCAGTCAGCAAATATTGAGCACCTACTGTTACCAGGTGATTCAGGTCCTTCTTGCCTTGACGAGACAAGCCAAAAATGGTGCCAAAAGTTTATCTGAAAAGTACAAAGTGAAAGAGTAAGGGAAAAACTGGCTCTGCAGAGCAAGCTTGGGCCAAATAAGAGAAAAAGAACAAAATAAAAGTGCACTCCGCAGGGAAGACGCCCATGGGGCGGCGGGGGCGCGGGGCGGGGGGTGGTCATGAGTCAGGACAGTGGGCTCCTTCTCCTGGCGGCTGGGTCCATACAACTGTCCACATCTTTTGGGAGCCTGGGAGAAAGACATGTGTATTGAAAAGTCACAACCACGCCAAAAGCAGTACTTGAGCTTCAGAGGAGCAGTCTGGGCAGTGAGTGCGCCCAAGGATCAGAGCCTCGAGCCCCCACTTGCAGTTCAGGGACTGGTTTTCATCTGATGAAAGCAGAGCTCTAGAAAGAATAGTCTGACAATGAAGTCAGGTAATAAAATGTTGTCAGATTCGTAGTACTCCTCAGTACCAAGCCCTTTATGGTTTATTTCCTCTGAGAGACAGCCCTTTGAGCTAGGTAAGCACTGTCCTTCCAAGATAGGAGCTGGAGCTCAGAAGGTAAGGTCCCTGCCAGGGACCATGCTGCCAGAGACCCTGAGACCCTCAGCATTACACTCTGCCTGCAAAGCTGGGCTGAAGGAGATGAGGGTAAGAGGAGTTGTTCAGCACCCGTTTGTCTGCACGGGCTGCCACAGGCTGAGTGACAGGAGCATGGGGAGAAGGCATGAGCACTAACCATGCCAAGCTCATGCCCCGTTGGGCCCCTGCTCACTATGGGACTTTGGTGTCCACTTTCCTGTCAGGCCCCGATGTACTGGGTGGCTATAGGAATTACTGGTTAGCTTTGTGCTCATGGTCAGCGTGAGGCCAAGGAGTCTACCCAAAACTAGCCAGTACTTGCAGCAGTAGCAAGGCTGGCTGCAGACATGGGAAGAAAGTTGAGGAAAATAAGGGAGACAAACAGAGCTTGGTTGCTAGACTTATTTCTTGTAGTTTTTCCAGGACTTTTAAGTGAATAAATAACAAACCCATTAAGATGGCTACTCTCCAAAAAAATGGAAAATAAATGCTGGCTGGGACATGGAGAATCAGAACCCTTGTGCATATGGGTGGGAGTACAGAAAGAGTGTAACCATATGGAAAACAGTATGGAGGCTCCTCACAAAATGAAAACTAGAACTACTGTTTTATCCAGCAATCCTATTTCTGGGTACCCATGCCAAAGAATTGAAAGCAGGGTCTCAAAGAGATATTTATACACCCATGGTCAAGGCAGCTGAATAGAGATGGGAGCAGCCCAGGTGTGCAATGAGGGAGGGATGGATAAACAGATGTGGCAAAGATTTATACAATGAAATATGACTCATCTTTAGAACAGGAAGGAAATCCTGGCCCATCTACATCATCAGTTAACCCCGAGGACATCAAGCAAAGCACAGAAACTAAATACACAGGATTCTCCCCAGGTGAGGGATCTAAAGGAGGTAGAGTCACAGGACCAGAAGGCAGGAAAGAGGTTGCCAGAGAGGACACAGAGTAGTTGTTTAGTGAGTAGAGTTTCAGATTTCAGATGAAAAAGTTCTGGAAATTTTTTTCACAGTAATGTAAATATACTTAACACTGTTGAACTGTACACTTCAAAAGAGCTAAGATGGTACATTTTGTGCTTTGCTCCTGGCTACAGTAAAACACCCACTTTTGTCACCACCAGATCATACCATTGAGCCAAAGTCCAGTAAGATGGTCTGACTCTCAAGACTGAAGTCACTGTATGCTTGTCCAGTTTGTGGATCTGTATAACTGGTCTTTTCTTTCCCAGTAATGCCATTGGGCCCCTGGTAGCTTTGTGGCTGATTTACAAGCAAGGTGGAGTAATGCAGGAAGCAGCCACACCCGTCTGGCTGCTGTTCTATGGAGGAGTTGGCATCTGCATGGGTCTTTGGGTTTGGGGGAGAAGAGTGATCCAGACCATGGGGAAGGATCTCACCCCCATCACCCCATCCAGGTAGGCAACAGGATGGGCTGTGGCCCCGGCTGGGTGGCCAAGACTGGTGCATGCCTCTCCCGGTCCTAGCACTCTTCCCCTCTGCAGTGGCACTGAATGATGCATAGGAAGATAGAAACAGGAGAGGCTCAAGCAGAGGAAGGGGAGGCTGCAGTGCACTATGAGGAAGGGTGCAGGAGCCCCACGTTGCCCGTCTTCCTTTCCGCGGGTTTCCCAGCCACACTGGCTCCTCCCACCTCTGGGAGGCACTGTAGAGCCTACCTGGCTTCTCTTCTGTGTTACTCAGCTTTCAGTCTCTTTAACACACACCTGAGATAATCAGCTGAAAAAGAGAAAAGGTAAGCTGGGCACGGTGGCGCATGCCTTATAATCCCAGCACTCTGGGAGGCTGACTCAAGAGGATTACAAGTTTAAGGCCAGCCTGGAAAGCTCAGTGACTTAGCAAGACTCTGTCTCAAAATTTAAAAAACAAAAAAGGACTGGAGATGTAGGGCTGGAGATGTAGCTCGGTGGTACTAGGTTTAATCCTCTGTGCCAAAGAGAGAGACAGAGAGAGAGAGAGACAGAGAGAGGAGGCTTATTTTGGCTCACAGTTTGAAAGGTTCTAGTTGGTTTTGGGCATCGAGGCAGCAGTGTGTGGCACAGCACAACTGCTCTCTTAATGGCCAGGAAGCAAAAGAGTGAAGAAGGGTGAGGTCCCATATCCTGTCCCCACGACCTTAGCCCTTAGCCACCTCCAATAGCAATACCCTGAAGACCAGGCCTGTAACGTGGGCCTGTATGAGATCCAACGTATAGCCAGGCACAGTGGTGCACATCTGTCATCCCAGCTACTCCAGAAACTAAAGCAGGAGGGTCACGAGTTTGAGGCCAGCCTAGTGAACTCAGCAAGACTCTGTCTCAAAATTTTAAGAGTATTTTACTGATGATGTAGCTCAGTGATCCCTGGGTTCAACCCCTAGTAACACACACACACGCACACACACACGCGCGCGCACACACACACACGCACGCACAAACATTCTTCAGCTGCACCCATTCTCACCTGCCACCCTTCCTCTAGCTCCATCACATCGGCAAGCGTGCCCAGTGCTCTGGGGCCTTTGTGCTCATTCTGTTGTGTAGCCTTTGGATACATTAGGGTTAGACAACAAACTTTCAAGAAAGACAACTTTCAGGACTTTCCAACTAAAATTTGGAAGTACCTGTTTCAGGAAATCTTTTTTTTCTCTGTCTCTTTAAACATATTGGAAGTAGGGCCAGGGATTTAAGACAGTGGCACTGCACCTGCCTCACAAGTACAAGGTCCCAAGTTCAATCCTCGTACAAAAAAACACACATATTGGAAGTGCCCATTTCCTTTTCTTTCATATTTTCAGTTTTCCCTCCTTGAAATTCATTTTAACAAAAGATCCTTTCAGAAGACTGATTTGAAGCAAAATTAATCATCTGAGAAAAATTTATTTTGTAGTCACATTTTTAAAATGAGAGCATAACTTTCCCCATTTCCCTTTAAAATGACCAATTCATAGCAGGAGTTTCTGATCCAGTTCCCTGCAGGGTGTGGTTTTGGAACTGGATCAGAGAGACAGTGACCCGAATGGTGGGCAGCACCGAGTGTGGCCAGGCTGTGAATCACCACAGCCACAGCACTTCTGGATCTGTGTGTCAGTCTGGCCCAGTTAGCAGCCAGGCCAGAGAGTGTTCTGATGGAATCTCAGCATACAGGTGTTGGGAGGTACCACATGGAGTATCTGTGACGCGTCTTCCTGTGTCCCTTCCTCAGTGGTTTCACGATTGAGCTTGCCTCAGCCTTCACAGTGGTCATCGCCTCCAACATTGGGCTGCCTGTCAGCACCACGCACTGCAAGGTAGGCAAGCACCCAGGTGCCCACCCAGAAAAAGCAGCTGTGCTTTCGACATGGTCACTTGTGACAAAAAGCTTCTCAGTGTTTGCTGGTTCTCCCAGAGCGCTGCCGGATGGATGTGGCATTTGCTCTGCTCTGACTGTCCTTGGGGCCAACCGCAGGTGGTGTCTTAAGAGTGTTCAGTGTAGCTTTCTCAGGTGCAAACACCAGGCCTCTCCGTGTGTGTGTGTGTGTGTGTGTGAGAGTGAGAGAGACTCATTCCTGGGTCCTGTGCTGCCCTCGTTTCTCCATTGGGGTCATGTATCCCCATCCATAGTCTCAAATGAAGGCAGCCACTCAGTCACTCAGTTCTGGCCCATTGTGAGGGGCTGGAAAGTGGGAATAGAAACGAAGAACAGAAATGACCTCCACGGAATAAGACACAGGTGTTTCAGTTTTGTTCTTTCTGTGATGTTCAAAGTGATTGTGTTGCCTGAGAGTAAATTCCAGATGAGGGATAACTGCCAATATGACCCAGGGCTGCACAAGAGGTAGCAGTGTCAGAGTGCTGAGAAGCCTTGGGGCTCAGTGAAGAGCATGAGAGCCACATGGGTTTCAGCGGTTACACAAGCACGGGAGCCAGAAGCAGCACCCAGCTCTGATGGCCCAGATTCTGGGATGATGCTAAAATCTCCCCCAGGGGTCTTTTATATAAAAAAATACTCACCAACCTCAAAAACCAAAAGCCACTTCTACATTGTCCCTGGGTTCACTCATTCATATCATTCAGGAAGCAATCACTGGTACCTGCTAGGCATGAGCCACTGTCGCAGACACCAGTGGGATTCAGCAGCCACAAGGTAAAAACCATCACTACATTACCCGTATCCTAAAACCCCAACCTATGTGTTGATAAATAACAGCTAACTGCAAGTAGCTCAGTGCTTCTGGTATTAAGGTCATGTGGCATTTGAGTGTTTTAAGTGGGCCAGCATGTTTAACACACAATGGGGATTTTGCAACATAAAATCAGCCTCATTAGAAGTGTCCTGTCTTTTTTTTCCTTCTTTGCTACAAGATACAGAAAAACCTCAATTTCTGTGAATTCTCATTATAAAAATCAGTGTAACTGGCTAACTGTATGCAGTGTGCCAGGCACTGTGCCTCGTGCTTTGTCCATACACACCTCCTCTACACAGCAACACTGTGAAATTAGCCTGTTATTCCCAGTTTACAGAGGAGAAACACTCTCCAGAGTTGGGTCACTTTCCAGAGATCCTGCAGCTAGCATATGACAAAAGTGGCTTCAATGTGTCCTCCTCTGGGATACTCCTGTTGTCACCAGGATAGCCAGGCCTGTGGGCTCACTCATACCGAGCAGTATTTGCTCTACTATGGCAAGTGCACTGGGAATTCTAATGCAGGTCAGCGTCCCCAAACCTTTGGAGGTGAGTATTGACCTTCCCCTCGCACAGATGTGAAAGTCAAGGCATAGATAATCTAGTCAGCTTGCCCAAGATGGCAGAACTCGGGGATGATCTGGGAGCTGCCATAGTGCTGTGGCCCAGGCTCTGTTCTCCAGAGGCAGAGGAAGGCTGGAGGTGCTGGGTCTCCTCCCATTCATCAGCTGGAACTGTTTCCATTCCAGCTATTAAAACATTCCCAAAGGGGCTGGGGTGTAGCTCAGTGGTAGAGCACTTGCCTAGCATGGGTGAGGCCCTGGGTTCCATCCCCAGCACCACAAAAAATAAAATAAAATAAGTTACCACAGAACCACATACTCATTGAAATATTTCAGACAATACAAAACTATATAGAACAAAAAGTGACCTCCTCCTGCAGGAAGAAATAGTGTTTTTTAAATAATCTTTTCCACAGAAAAGGCTTTTAACTTTCCTGAAGGGATAGTCTTTCGGCTGTTTTTAAATAAACGTTCCATTGTCTCTTTAATGATTAACTGTGGCACGCATTTTGGCACACCTAACTGGGATTCTAGGCCGTGGACCAGTGTCATGGATGTGAACTTTGGACACACAGAGTCCTGCAGTGGAGGAGCAGTCCCCTCAAGTCAGCCTCAGGAACGTGGTGCTGGGGGTCACAGCTGACAGCCCATGTCTCCTCTTCATGTGACAGAAGATGGCAGCAGTAGTGAAAACCTAAGGCTCTGGAACTTTGATGCACCAAATAAAATTAGAACTAAATAATGTCAAAGCTGTTAACCAGAACTCAGAAATCATAATGCCCAAGCTTGTGATGAATGAAGTAGAGAAGTACTAAGGAGTATAAAGTATTTAAACAGTATATTTGAGGCAGAATAATAAGAATGTATTGAATTTTTACCAATCATGTTTCTTGTCAAGCATCACGAAACACTTAAAAAATCATAAATTCTGAGGACCCTAAGTCTCTGTAAATTTTGCAAAACAGAAATTATGTTACCTACAACATGTAATCACAGTGAAATTAAGTTAGAAATGAGAATGTATTACCTTGGGTAGTTTTTAATGCTCTTTTTGTGTTTTTGGTGATACTGAAAATTGAACACAGGGAGCACTGAGCCACATCCCCCCACTCTTGATTTTCTCTTTGGAGATGGCTCTCAGTTGCCGAGTCTGGCTTTGAACTTTCACTACCCTCCCAGGTCACTGGGACTACAAGTGTATGCCACCATGGCTGGCTCTTTAGTGATCTTTCAACATTTAATCAAGGAGTGTAAAAAAAATACAGTAGCTTTCTTGGAAATTAATAAAAACTAAATGTGTCTCTGTGTGTATCTGTCTGGATACACATAGCAAAACCATAGCAGCCAAAGTTGTGCTAAAATGAAAATTTGCACCTTTAAATAGCTTAATTGATCAAAAGGAAAATAACCAAATATTCAAATTAGGATTTTATAAAAAGTTCTAAACAATAAAAACTTTAAGGAAATTGAAGGATAAAAGAAGTATAAAAGTAAAATAAATTTTAAAACAAAGATAGTAAAAGACAGTGGTTCCAGTCAAATCAAAAAGGAGGAATGGATGGGCCGGGGATTTAGCTCAGTGGTTTCGCTGCCTGCTGCGCAAGCGCAAGGACCCGAGTTCGATCCCCGGTACCAAAAAAAAAAAAGTCTTAAAAAGGAGGAATGGGTCAGGGATTTAGCTCAGTGGTTCCACTGCCTGCCTCAAAAGCACAAGGACCCGAGTTTGATCCCCAGTACCAAAAAAAAAAAAAAGAAGAAGGAAGAAGAATTAAGTTAGGAAAGTTATTCTGCGAACAGATAGAGAAGTTTCTGTCTTTTGCTTTTTGTTGAGACAGGATCTCAAGTCATAGCCCAGGCTGCCCTCTAACCCTTGGGCTCATGAGAGCTTTCTGCCTCAGCCTCCGAGTAGTTGGTACTCTAGGCTCCCACTGTGCCTGGCTTGAAGGGAAAATTTTTAATTAGAAAAGAAACCACTAGCTATAAGCTAATGGTTTGAAAATCCCTGTGAAATGACTTCTTTTCTGTAAAAATATGTATGACTGAGAAATACTGCCTGACATCCGCTTCAGTTTGGATGATGAGAATAATCTGCTGGTCCTAAATTGAGAATAAAATAGAATTTTGTTTTAGAAAATGTAGAATAAAATATACAGCATATATTCAAGTTAAGGATAAATCACAGAAGAAAAGCATATTTTATTGCATGAAACTAGAAACTCAAAAGTAAAACAAAACAAAATCCTAGATTAACAAGATATATTAAATACCACAGAGTTGATGTCATTCAGTAATGATCACACATAAATAAGAGACACATTTGATTCCAAAACATAAATGGCCAAAATACATAAAGACAGTTTTTATATGTTAAAAACTAGGAGTAATGAAACTGGATAGATACATTTTTAAAAAGTCAACCTTATTTGTAATTAAAAATATCCAAATTGGGCTGGGGCTGTAGTTGAGGGGTAGAATGCTTGTCTGGTGTGCCCGAGGCCCTGGGTTCAATCCCCAGCACCACTATAAAAGTAAATAAGGATATGCAAATTAAGGCATTTTGCGGGGAGGGAGAGATCATTATCAGAGACTGTTACAGTGTGCAGAAACCCACACATTATGGATGGCATTATGTAGGCACATCTCTGTATAGAACTGTTTGGAAGTTTGTAACACACTGGAGGAATATTCTCTCTTATCCGTGTGATAAATAGGAAGTTGGTTAAGTCACCATTTTGCTGCCATCATAATATAAAATGGGTTTCTTAACCTTTTTTAAAGAAAAAGAGAGGTTTGATGAGAAGCAGAATATTAAAATGTCTCTTTACAAAAATGTTAAAATTTGGGAATTGGAGTTGAGCATATATGGAAGTTCTCATAACTTTCCTGTAAGTTTCAAATTACATCGATATATAAAAATGATCCAGATGAGTTAAGTGTATGTAACTGTCCCCCAAGATGAAATGTAATTGTTATGTATCACAAACATGTAGTGATAAATTTTTTAAGTTCCCTTTTAACTATTTCAGGGGATATTATTTTTAAGCCTAAATTTAAGCCTTATGAATGAATGCATTAAACATGGAACTAATTCTGATAGGGAAAAATTAGCACATTGGAAATGGTGAAGCAAATTAAGGGACATCACCCGTGTCATACAAGCCTCATAAAGGCTGTGCAGCACTGTAAGAAAGTGCTTCTAACATTCTTTTAAATAAAATAGTAGCATACCTGATTATGTACAAATAAAGGTATGGTTATAAGAAATCCTAGAAAGGAATGTGTAAATGTGGCAACAGTGAAGTTCTGGATAACTTCACCCTCCTACTGCTCAAACTTGCTGTACTATTTCTGTTACTCAGATTCTCTAAGACAGATAGAAGGTGTGGAGCAGCCTGAATCCTGAGCATGCCCCCCACCCCGTAACCCAGAACAGCCTCAAGCGTGTCACAAAAGGAAGCATCTACACACAGCACAGGAGGAATTTACTCTCACAAGCTAATGGCTGTGGACTTATTTTTGAGGACCAGCATAACCTAGCCAATCCTCAGAGTAGAAAAATCATTACTGTCTAGCATGTTGTATGAAATGCTGAGTAGGATTATCATATTCATTCTGTGTGCTCACTAGAACCAAAAGGATTTAAGTAGCAGTTGTGATGCCCCACAGATAAGGAGCCAGTTGGTATCCTGGACATGTACTGAGGTTGCCAGTTCATCTTGGTGTGGGTCAGAGGACTGACCATCAGACTAATTGCCTTTAAGGTGTTCAGTTTGTTTCCATATGAAACAGATGTTGGGTATTTTCTATAGTTACACCACTGATGTTTAAATCACCTATTTGATCTCATTAGCCACTTGTAATTCTTGAGTATTTGGAGAGAAAGTATATTTTATGGAGTTCTTCAAACTGCAGCTTCCCTGGGACAGAGGGGCGCCCTTAACCCATCCTCATGGGAGGTGCTGTAGGCACTATTTGCTCATTGTTTTCATTTTCTAGAATAAAATTATATCCATTTTCCTTTTTTAAAATTAAAAAAAAAAACATAAATGAGCTGCGAGTATTTAGAAAAATACCTGGACCACTATTAATATTCTGACTTCACATATCTATAACCATCATTTTATGAGTTACCATTGACAGTATAGATCTCATATTTATTAATGCAGAATACAGGTGAAAAGCATATCATTTTCAGAAGTATATTATCAGAAGCATATACTGAATACAATAATCCTAAATCAGTTATACATAAAACCTAAACTATTTTTAAAACAAACTGAGGGGAAATAATTGACAGTTTTATAACATTTATTCTGTACTTAGCCTGTTTACATCGGTTATGTAGATTTTAATGCCTCCCTTTAAATCCGTATGAGTCTCATTTTTACTTTAAACTGTGTGTGCTTCTGCAGGTAGGTTCAGTGGTGGCTGTGGGCTGGATCCGCTCCCGGAAGGCTGTGGACTGGCGCCTCTTCCGGAATATCTTTGTGGCTTGGTTTGTGACTGTCCCAGTGGCCGGGCTATTCAGTGCTGCTATCATGGCTCTCCTCATGTATGGGATCCTTCCATACGTGTGACTTGCCTTCTTCCAACCAGTAAACTGCTGAAGGGACAGTCCATGTGGGTATGGAAGACATGCTCCCCGTGTCACATGCACACAGGCTGTCCCCAGCCACCTCTCCATATCCCCATCAGACGGTTCCACACCACACCGCTCACCAGGCTGCAGTGCTGCATCCTCCAGAGCCGACTTAACTACTGTACATAGTAATGTGTATTAAACTGGTATTGTGGTGATACAGGTGGTGCAGTTACTTATATATTAAATATACATTGTATACATAGAATAGGTAGCATTTCAAACATATTAAAAATGGGAGTGGAGATTATTGCCTAGAATTCAGTATTAATAAATCATGTACATAATGATTTAAGTGGCAAATGTTAAGAAATTTACAAAGGAAAGGTTTTTTTCCAAGTATCTTCCCCTTTTAATATACTATACGATAAGTCAGATCACAACACAAACTTGGGCAAATGTATGCAGGCGCAACTGATAATCCTGGGACGAGGTCACAAGTGCTTTCACTGAGAATGTGTTCATGTGCTATGTATCAATTATTGTTTAAATATCATAATTGCTTTTGTAAATACAGTACTTAAAATGGTAATTTTTTAATGGTGTGCTTCCCTTACACTTTTTAGAGCAGAGAATTTTGGAAAGTACCAAAGAAGCAGGGGAATGGTTTGCCAGTATTATGTTTCCCTTTGTCTGCCTCCCTTCTCATGCTTATGTCCACTGCCTGCAATGGCAGAGACCAACCAGGCTGCAGCTCACACCAGAGCAGGATGTGTAATTGAGCACCAGCCTTTCGTCATATCTGTGTTGCGCTTGAGTCCTCCCGCCCCACAGCAGCACCACTGCTGCCACATACCAGGTCCTCCTCAGCCCCGAGTGGCCTTTCATTTTCACCAGCATGGAGAATGTACATGTAAGGACGTGTCACTAAGCACTACATATCAAGTCCAGTTCAAGTTTCCACCCATTCTCCCCTGCAGCCTGAAACACAGAATTCCTGTCTCAGACATTAAGGCCAATGAGGCTTTTGATGTGCTTGATATTTTAGAAATCTGGGAGCTCAGGGAGCTGAGATATTGGAGGGTTTCCTTGAGGCCTTTACATCCTGACACTCTCTTATAGTCTACTGGATTGTCTTCTCTTTTGATAGTAAGAGGGAAGAAGTCTGACTAATGTTAGAGCCTGAAACTATGGAAATGCTGCTAAAATTTTTATATTGACAAACATTTTCTCGGTACTTCATTGTGATTTTTCATTAATTAACCACATTAAATTTATAATAAAAAATGCCCCTCAAAAGTTTGCCTCTGAAGTCTTTTTCTAAATATCTTAATGTTTTTCTTTCAGTTTCCACAAAAATGAAAGTCATAGGGAAATGCAAATAAAAACCACACTGAGTCTGTAGTTTAACCCTAGTTAGAATGGCTCTCATCAAGAATACAAAAACAGTAAATGCTGGCGAGGATGCTGGGAAAAGGAACCCTTCTACACTGCTGGTGGGAATGTAGATTAGTGCAGCCACCATGGAAACTAGGATGGAGGCTCCTAAAAACCTAAAGATAGTGCCACCATTTGACCCAGCTAAACCACTCCTTGATATATACCCAAAGCAATTAAAGTCAGCATATTACAGATACCTGCATACTGTGGCACAATTCACAATGGGCAAGAAGATATGAAGTACCCTAAGCCCCTCAGTGGGCTCATGGATAAAGAAAATGTACAATCACACAATGGAGTATTGTTCAGCCACATGATTGAAATTCTGTCATTTGCAAGAAAATGGATAGATTTAGAGATCATGCTGAGTGAAATAAGCCAGATTTAGAAAGACAAATACCTATTCTCCCTAGTATGTGGAATCTGAAAACAATGACAAGAAAGTAGAAGGGAGACTACTGACAGACAAGAGGCAGGGAAGAGGGAGGGCCTGGGTAAGGATGAGTCACAGGGGGACTATGAGCAAAAATACACATTGAAACCACCCTAAAAATGTAAACTAGGGGGAAGGGGTTGAAAATGAGCAAAGTATGTTGTGTGCTTGTACAAATCTGCCAAAATGAAACCTATTCATCTGTATAGCCAATGAAGAGTGGAAATGAAAACTATAGAATTTGGCCACGTACAGTTTTCAAATACCTTTTATTAGTTTTTGTATTCCACTGTATTTTACTATCATTACATAGTTGTACAGAAAATACACATGAACAAGAAAAGGATGAAAACTGCCCACCAGCCCCTTTCCAGAAACCCCCTGGGGAACACACACCCTTCCATCAGAGAGCTGTCCTTCGAGGTTCTGTCCCACGTCAGGACCTCACGTTTCTGGATAAGACCCTGCAGGCACGTATGACCCTGTCTGTTCCCTGTTTTGCTCCAGGAGGAAGAGAGAACTCATTAAATCTGCAACAGTGGTCAGAAGCCACCCTTCCTCCAGAACTAGGAAGGTACAGGATGAGCAACACTGGCCAGGTGCAGAGAATCCCCACCCAAAAAGAAATCTCAAATCTCCGTTTTTAAAATGGCAGTTTGGGCCTTTCATTTCCCTGCTTCAGAAAAAGATTCATGAAAAAGAATATTCTCTTCCCAAAGTTCATTTACAAGAAAAATAACCACACAACATAGTGCAAATATTGTGCAGCTCAAAGTCTGCTGGAGCCAGGAAGCATTTCCATCCTAGGAGTGGTAGGCCAGCCCACAAGGGGTGGCAGAGGCTGGGTCCCAGGCAGGATCACAAGTGCCTCACCTTGCCACACAGGTGGTGTCTGAACAGGAGCCTCACCCCGCCCCCCGCCCCCCAGTTCTCTATGTCTGGCAAACGGGTGGCCACCGGGCAGCTGAGCCCCTAGAGGCAGAAAAAAGTCCACACCACCCTGGACTCATCTGCTCGAGGATGGGGTCCCAGGCCACCACCCACAGTTCACCCCAGCATGTTCCCCAGTGTTCTGTCGCCTCCCCATTTAGCCATGTGAACCCTGCTCAGATGGAGAGCACTCAGCACCACTCCCAGGCCTTCACAGTGGGAGCGCCTGAGCTGGGGTGCTGTGGGAGCTCAGCTCCTCAACCACCCAGTGATGCCATCTTCTGCTCTTCCCGAGGCTTTGAGCTTTTGAGCAACTATCTATATGCATTTATTCATTTTCACCAGGGCTTTTTTAAAAATAAGGCTTCCCCACTTCCCCTTAAGTGACAGAATTATTAAGCGGCAGAATTCTCAAGAAAAATTTAAAACCGCCCCTTAGTTCAGAAAGTGATGAATGTAAAGATGGATGGCATCAGGATTTTATTCAATTATACAGGAAGGCCAGAGAAAGTTACTTTAAGGGGGTTATGCCATGTTTTGCTGAGTCCTACAGCAAGGTTCCATTGAGATTCTGTTTACCCATGAGAGGCCACGCTTGCCTGTTACACACGTCGTGCTCCCAGGACAGCTCCTGGGGTGGGCAGAACTGGCCTCTGATTTCAGGTCCTGCAAAAATGACCCCAGGCAACTAACCTGTCAGCTCCATTTTCACAAATGTGGACAGTGAGACCATCTCACAGGATTGTGAGGATTTAATGGAGAACAGTGTGTGTGGAAAAGGACTGTCCCAGAGCCTGGCCCAGAATGGCTTTCAGAAATTTCCCTGTGGAGGAAGCATTTATTCACTACCTCAGTATCTGTCTTTGTTAGAGAGAGGGCTTTGCTTTGTTGCCTTGGAAGGCTTGAACTGGGCTCAAGTGATCCTCCCAACTCAGCCTCCTGAGCAGCTGTGGGACCACGGGTACATACCACTGCACCTGGCTGCACCTCCCTTCAGGAGGCCTGCCCTGGGGAATGCATTAAATCAAGTGAAGAAAAGGAATAAAAAATAAACCAGAGTGCCATAAAAGATAAACTTGAGGCATTTATAGGTCAACAGATGGGCCTCCAAGACCATGAAATGAATTGAACACACATTTAAATATCCCATTATTTCTCTGGTGAGGACCAAAATGTATAATAGATATTAAGAAATAGGAAGAAAATGTTCAAATAGGAACAGGAACAAAGGAGAGGAAAAGGAAGGAAGGGACAAGAAAAAAACAGAAGGAAAAAAATGGAAACAAAGCTTTTAAAAATGAGTGGAAAAAGGGATGAAGGGAGAGGAGGAAATGGGGAAAAAAGAAGAATCAAGATAAATTAAGGTACAAAGTCCCTATGATGAATGTGAGCAGGATGTATATCTAAAGTGTAAAGAAAATTAATTTTTTAAAAATCCAGAGCTGACCAAGACAAAACAGCTTGACACTGAAAAAAACTGGAGAGTGGGTCACCTGTCTGCTTGATGGAAAAAACTGGTGAGCCTTATAGAATACGGTCATCAACAGGAAATGGAGCCTTGCTCCTGAATAAATTGTCACCCTCTTCAATATTTTCAGTATCATCTTTTATTACTTAAAAAATAATATGGGCCGGGGATGTAGCTCAGTGGTACTGCGGTACTGCTGCCTGCCTCACAAGCGCAAGGTCACAAGTTCGATCCCCAGTACCAATAATAATAATAATAATACAACCCCAAAGCATCTTATAAAAAAAAAAAAGTAAACTATATTCCATCATCCCACCACCATCCTTTTTTGAAGCAGTTTCCTTTTCCTTACTTTACTGGGCCTTTGACACACCCGGAGTTGGCCAGCACTGGGGACACTGAGGCAAAGAATGAGAGAATTCAGGCAGCTGCGTGGTAACGGAGGGGCAGATGCCAGGCTTCCTGCCCATCTGCTCTGTCCCTTCCCGTCCTTGTCCCTTCAGCGGCTGTTTCTGTCCTCACTGAGGTCTCTACAGAGGAGGCTGTGCAGACAGTGCTCTGGTGTAAGCACCCTGACCACCGGCCACGTTGCTGCCTCTGTTCCTCCTAGGGCCTGGAGAGGTAAAGGAGGGCACGGCACTTCTGTATTGCTGCTCAGCTTTCTGTACACCCAGAGCTGCTCCAAGAAATCAGTTTTTTAACTATATCTTTATACGTAAAGACTTTCTGTCAGTACCAAAAAAATTTTTAAAAGGAAAGATTTTTTAAATTTCAAGACAGGATTACAGTAGGCCTGGGAGGAAGGTCCAGAGAAGGGACACCGGAACAGGTGACTAAGAACTGAGAAGGTAGTCTAGGAAGGGGGGGCGCTTACTTGGCCTGTTTCTATACAGGAAACTTGAGGAATCAGAGAGAATTTTAAGTAAAGTTTCACACTCAAGGAGGACAACGACCAAAATCTACTTAAACAGCAAAGAGATTTTGGTCACAGTAGAGTGGAGAATTTCCTTGCCTTTCCCAAGACTTGGCATTTAGAGATTAAGGCAAAGCCTGAATTTATTGATTTCAAACTCTGTGTGGGTAAGGGAGGGGCAGGGAGCCAGAAAGAAAATGGACTGAAGGACCCTAAGTGCAGAAAGCTCTCCAGAGAGGACTGCCGGCGTCTCTGGCTGCGGCTACCACAGCGGCACCTAGTGGGATCAAGTTTAATTGCAATTACGACTGTTTTGGGGGCAAGCCCTTTGATATAACAGCAGAGAAATCATCTCACAAAATGTTAATTTTATCATAATTCAGAGTTCCAAGAAATGCCAGGAATTACTGTACTTCTCTGATGCTCACAGAGAACTATAACTGTATGCAGAGATCCCTTTGCCTGGCGGCTAACACACATTGACTCAGCAAACACCCAGAGTGCCAACCACAGGCTGAGCACTCACCTGGCCACTGGAGGAAGACACAACCACAGGCCTAAGGACTGGAAAGAACGTGCTGCACCAAGCTGCATTGCCCTGAGGCCACCATCAAGGCACAGAAGGATGCCGGGAAGGGCTGCTGAGTGGCTTGGGGAGGTCGGGGCAGAATGCAGAGAAAAGGCAGGAACGTGACTGAGGCACCGAGGGCGAAGCGGCCAGGTTCAGTTTGGGAAACGGTAGGTTCTGGAAGCTGCCAAGTATCCAGGGAGACAGGCAGTTTGAAATAAAGGCTGTGTGTTTCGGAGGGAGTTCTCAGGTAGAGACAAGCCTTGGAGGTCATGCTGTTCAAAGTGCAGGTGTGTGAGAAGCATCAGAGAGCTATGTCAAAGTATACACACCACTCACCTGGCTCCCTCCCTTGGGAGACAGCCACCTGTCTGGGGGAAGCCAGGGACTGGCCATGGCCCCAAGCACACCCATGAACACTATGCCCTGTGCTCCATGCCGGACCACATGCAGCATCTGCTCTCAGCCCTCCAGCACTCTGCTCGCTCCCTCAGAGGAAAGGAGTGGATCTGCCTGGGCATCTGGATGCACACTGCTCAGAGCACAGCAT